GATGATGATGATGTGACTTCCCTCCTTATACATATACGCCGCTGAGCAAATATTTACACGCAAATATTTACAATTATTAATCGTTCTGTGGACAAATTGCTCAACATGGCGGTTAAAATAGCACTGGTTGTGGGATTATTCATCGTAATCTGTGTGCCACCTGGTAAGTGAAAGCAAGGTTTCATTTTTTTTAGGAATGTATGAAATGGCTTTTAGAAATTAAATATCTATACAACTTTATTGTTAATTCAATAATTCGTTTGGTTTAAATGTTTTATGGAAAACAGGGCCACAAAGGAAAGAACTGCACTCTACGCTTTAAAATTCAACAGAAATATATTTAAGTAGCAAACTCTGAAAGTAGGGGGGCGGACAGCCCTGTAGACTAACAGCCCAGAAGATCAAGAGACTTCGATACTGTCAGTGAAAGTGACCAACATTCCAAAGAGGCCGACAACGTCGGGCTTGCGAACCTTTTGACAAATGTAATTTTTAGAAAGCCCACGTGACCGACCATGACAGGAGTGAAGCAATTTTTTTAAAACTTAAAGTTCTCCAGTGGCGTACCTTGGATTATCTATTAATGAAACATTGGGCAAAAGCCCTTTTGAATTTATATTCTATTATCAAAGTTTTAAGACTGTTTCTTGAAGACTTTCTTTCATTTATAGCCAAATTGCACTTACAGTAATAATAATAATAATAATAACATTTATAGGGCGCTTTATACAGATGTTTCTAAGCGCACAAATGGTACTGTCTAAGTATCGTTCCACCAGCTTACCAGTGGCTTACCCCCCCCCCCCCCACTCAGTGAAACAATGAGTCAATACGGGTAGACCTTTTTCTTTTGTTACGAGCCGGAGATTTTGGGAGCGCGCATGCGGTCCCTCCGTTCCCGGAGTGGGGGGCAGGGGGCTTACCGCTATTTCTACATTTCATTTTAGGGATACATTTTTGCTCTTTGCTGCTAAAGCTGGAGTACCTAATGCAATATCGAGACACGATAGCTTCCCTGTTTGGGGGTCCAGCCGGGTTTTACTACCATCATTCAATATTACAAGATTACTGTTTTTCTACAATTTTTTTTCGATTTCTCGACCATTTGGATCAGTTTTTCCACTTCCCCATATAGTGTTGCGGCCATTGAAATTACCACACACTATCAAGGTGGTTCCCACTGCCGATCAAACCAACCCAACCAAGTCCAATCAAGCCCGATCACCCATTTTCCCCCGACCAATCTCGACCACATGCCTAAACACAAGCTCTTCCCGACCCCTATTCGACCATTGACGACCCACATTCGACCATTCACGACTCCTGCACGACGTATAGTCGACCACAACTTCGAGCTCTTCTCGATCATTCCGATCTACATACAATCCCAACGCGATCCCTACTAGACGAACTAGACGTACAGACAATATCTACACAATCTCGACCCGAGCAGATCGTCCTGTTAGAACGAGGATCCAAGATGACTCGTGAATTGAGTGGTTGCACAAAATATTATCGTCAGCTGATGGCACAGTACTAATTTTTTATCAGCGTTCAGTTCGTCTCAGACACTCAAGAGATGTATATCGAAGAGTTAAAGTTGTGGGCAGTGGCGGATCCAGGGGGGGGGGGCGAGGGCCCGGCCTCCCTGGGAAAAAAAGGATGTGTGATAATGAAAGCAACACAAAAGTGTTCTTCCCCCCTCCCCCCAATCCACAGAACGAAATATTTGACGCCGTAATTTTCCAATTTCCGCCCGCTGGACTCCACACCAATTAGTTTCCTAGCAGTGCAAAAAATAAGGTATCAAAATATGCTCATCTGACCGTAATTAAATGCCTAAAACCCCTTGTCTCCCCCCCCCCAGCCACTGAACGAAATATCTGACGACGTAATTTTCAAATTTCCAGAATTTTTTTTTTAATTTGCTCATCTGACCGTGATTTGCCTTATTACCCCTGAGCTTCCGGGGGCTCCAAACCCTGGACCCCACGTTAATTTGTGACCTGCCAGTGTCACAAATATGGTATAAACATATGCTCATCTGACGATAATTTATTGTATGAAAACACTGAGCTTCTGGGGGCTCCGCCCCCTGGACCCCACCCCAATTCGTCACCTACCAGTGTCACAAATAAGGTATAAAAATATGCTCATCTGACAATAATTTAATCTATCCACAAACCTGAGCTTCTGGGGGCTCCGCCCCTGGACCCCACACCAATTTGTGTCCTGCCAGTGTCACAAATAAGGTATCAAAATATGCTCATCTGACAGTAATTAATTTCCTATTCACCCTGAGCTTCTGGGGGCTCCACCCCTTGACCCCCGCCGAGAAACGTTCAGTGGGGCCTGCATGTAAGAGTGGGGTGATGGGGAATTTTTTTTCTACCCCCCCCTCCCCCCAAACTTTTTTGCCACTTCCGGTGTCAGAATTACGTACCTATATTTGGCTCGCATAATTTCAAATTGGCCCCCCCCCCCCTAAGAAATCCTGGATCCGCGCATGCGTGTCGCTGACACATGTTACTACCAAAGTACGAAGAAAATGTGATTATATCAGTACGTAATTGTGTCCTTGGTTGAGGTTGCGATCGGAAAGATCGAGTGTGGTCGAGAAGTGCTCGGGATGCGATCGAAAAGCAGTCGAAAAGCGGTTGAGTTGTTGATCGATTGATCGGGAAACAATCGTGTAGAAGTTGTGTATAAATCGAGATGATCGGTAGTGATCGGCGGGAAAAATCCACCCCGACCAAACTAGACCTCTATACGATCTATTCCCGATCAGCTCGACCTCTACTCGACTAATACACGATCGCTGTACGATTGCTTGCCTTCTCGACCCCTACACGATATTTTTTGACATGCCAGAAATTGTTGTGTAGGAAGCCAGATCAATACCGATCAAGGTAGACCGACCCTGATCAAGGTAGACCGACCCCGATCGCCCTTGCCGACCGAAACCGACCAGGCCAAAATAGCTTGATCGGGCTTGGTCGGGTTTATTTGATCGGCAGTTGGAACCTACCATGATCGGGCTTGGTTGGGTTGGTATGATTGGTAGTGGGAACCCACCATGATAGTTCATATTCTGTTGTGATCACCCTCCCAGCAATGCCACCAAAAATAGTTACATTCATAAACGCCTTTACCCGGTGGTATGTGTTTCAATTTATCGTCAATTTATTTATTTAATTTACTAATAACCAATTTAACTGTTGCTCTCTTGTTACTTTTCAAATCTCCCTTGCTACCACTGGCGGTCCGATTTTGCTACATGTCCATCTATCCCTTTTATGTCCCTTGTCAGATATTCCTCATTTGATATTAGGCCTTTCTCTTGTAGGACTTGGTGGTAGCTCTGGGTCATTTCCCTCTGACCGTACTCTTTGTCTCTTGATATTTTTAACGTTATTCCTTACTACTGTAAATTCATCGTCCCCTTTGTGCACTGTCCATCCCGTCTACTGAACATGCATATGTACTCTGCCATTGGCAGTCCCATGCTGCTTACCTGTTCCGACGAACTTTCTTTCCTTTTCCAATATCAGTTATAATGATAGCCAAATAAGGTGTTCAAGAAATTTACACAGTAAAAGTGTTATTAAAACACAGCTCAGAAGCCATCAGGTTGTAGGTGTCGGAAGATGAGTTATGCACGTCCATACGCCAGCAGTAATTTGTTTTTAGTCATACTGACAAAAAGTATACACCAAAACGCGAGAATTGAGTTTGAAAATTGACACTCTTTTTGCAACTGTAGAGAAAGAAGAAAAAACCCACCGCTGCCACCAGTTTAACACACCCAATAAAGGACAGCAAAGAGACCGGTCTTTACTATTCGAAGTCCCCGCTCAACTAAATAATCCAAATAAGGTGTTTAGGAAATTTCCACAATAAAAATGTTAAAATACAGCTCAGAAGCCGTCGAGTTGAAGGTTTTGGAGAAGTGAGTCATGCACGTCCGTACGCCAGCAGTCAAATTTAGTAATCCTGTTGATAAAAAGGATACACCAAATAGCGAGAATTGAGTTTGAAAATTGACACTTTTTTTGCAACTGTAGAGAAAGAAAAAAATCCCACTGCTGCCACCAGCTAAACACACCCAATAAAGGATAGCATAGAGACCGGTCTTTACTATTCGAAGTCCCCGCTCAACTGAGCTTGTCAGTGCTAGGTATTTGTTTAATATTCATATATACAAATGAAATGACAATGTCTCCAAACAAATAATCAATCGTTAGAATAAGTTTCATAAAGGAAAGTACTAATCATACATAGTTATGAATGTAAATGAACAAGCCCTCAAGAATATTGTTTTGGTCCTCAGCCAATTCCTAGAGACCATGGTTTGATAAAGGACTCACGGATTGGTACTAAATAAAGGAATGTACAGATAAATTATTTGAAACAAGATAGTGAAAGTATAATGAGGTTTGATGAGGTGAATATGCCTACAAATGACAAGGGAATGTATGAGGGCAAGTGAGGATAGTAGCAATGACAAAGCACAGTAAACAGTAACTGGGGAAGGATGGAATGAAAAAAAATTAAGAGGACGGTGAACCATAAGGTGCTTGTGATATACAACAACATGTTCAAGATACTTCCCTGCACCAATATAATATAAATGTTGGCCAAAAGTATACACCAAATCGCGTGAATTGAGTTTTCCCTTAGAGACCCCCTGTCCGCGCAATCGCAGAACGTGGCTCTGTCCGTCTTTCATTGTGCCCCCGAACCCCCCCCCCACCCTTTCCAAAATTCATGGATCCGCATCTGTGGCTGTCTACCATATATGCTGAAAAATGATGTACCTTGAAAGCTACTTTTAATAAAGGACGCTTGTAATGTGCACCAGACCTTGAAGTGCTTTTTGTTCCCATGTTTTCTCCGTATATTGTGCGGAGTATTTTCAATTGATAGTCCAAGGTACATACTACGCCGCCGGCGAGCTGAACAAATATATACAGATATCCACATACATCCGTAAACATTAATTGCTCTGTGAACATGTTGCTCAACATGGCGGTTAAAATAGCACTAGCTGTGGGATTATTCATCGTAATCTGTGTGATACCTGGTAAGTGATAGCGAAGCTTCATTATTCAAGGATTCCTTGCGGTGAATTTTAAAAATTAAACACTTATACAACCTTATTGCTAATTCAATAATTGGTTTGGTTAATATTTTCTATGGAAAAAGGCCATAGGAAAAACTAAAACTCTTGCTATGCACGCTACGCATTGAACCTCAGCAGTTGTATTGAAGTAGCAAACCGTGAAAGTAGGGGCAAGATTGAGAGCCTTCGATACCTGCAGTGACCATGACCGTCACGTCGGTCTCGTGGGTCTTCTGAAAATGAATTATTCAGAAGGTTCGCATTGAGATTGTTGCTTGGCTGAATGAGCAGTGTGCATGGATGTGGCTGTTTACCAAAAATGTGTAATTTTTGTTATTTTTAATCCAATATCTGTTATATAAATGCTGCCTGATATCGTTGTGATAATTTTTATGTAAGAGGTAAAAATGTCGGAGGAAAAAATGTCAGAGAAACAAACAAAATGTTATGTACACTGTACAAAAAAAGGTAGGGGTAAAAATTGGTGCTGTCATAATATCTCATCACTTTATCACACAAAATGTCGACGCGTAAGCTACGGGGCTATAGTCTATTATATTTTATAAATGAATGTGAATTGCACTTCGTACATGTCCTGAGGATAATACAATGTGGAAAATGAATTTGAAACTTATATTTTGTGACCAGGTTTGCATATATTAATTTCTATCATTTTTCGATATTTTAAATTGGTTGATGTTTTAATGTTTATTTGGTTTTGAGGAGGTAGGCCTAAGTACATAGAATTTTAAGATTGAATGAGATAAAACAGGGAATCAGATATAAAGATCGCACAGAAATTCCACAAATTCAGTAATTAGACTCATCTTCATGTCAATCCCAGCAAAGACTGTTATGACAAGAAAACATTAATAAAAAAGACACAAATGCTTTGTCTCCCTCATCAATACTTTATTATAAAAGTTTAACAAATACTATCAAAGCTACGCTTGAAGAATGTCAGATAGTAGGCCTATTTGAAGTGGTAAACGTTGTGACATATCTACCCAGGTATTTTGTCATGTGCTTTCGACCATAACACTGTAAAACTTTATATTTAAAAAATCATGTTTGTGATTAAGAAACGTGGGAGAATTACAGTTTAAGTCCCTCCATTTCAACTGTTTTTTCTGCCAAATTCATGATACATTTTGTTTAATGTGTAGACTTGAACGAGTATTTACCTGCTGGGAACTGTCGTATACAGTGTATGCCTTTTATAAATCCTGCACCAATTATCCTTTAACCAATATTATCATATTATTATCATATATACAAGCAGTATCATGATGCTTTAAATGTGTACAGTCAAACTATGTTACTGATATGTTGCTCATGAATAAATATTTGTCGAATTCAGAGTTTGATCTCTCACAGCAAACAATTATAGAACGATGTAGCTTAAACAGAACCTCTGCAAAGCGCGCGCTTATCTGGAATGTTATGGTGCGGTTAGCATTAAATGTAACATGGGCGGCTTTCTGCTTTATAATTGTATCAAAGTATCAAAGTACATGTATCAAGCCCACAAGAAAGTGAATATGCATTTGTAGGAAATTACATTTTATAGTAGTCATTGCCACGCTGTTAAAAATGTCCATCAATCTTCGGAAGGAATGGTGAAGTGGGGGGGGGGGGGGGGGGGGGCGGAGGACTCACAGCGTGAAATCTTATCCTCTTTTTTTTTTTGGGGGGGGGGGGGGACTGTGATGACTTTCTTTTTAGTTAATGATTACACCACCGAGCCACAACTCGGCCTATAATTCATGGCCAAACTACTCGATTTTAGACATTCTTTTTTTAAAGAAGTTTGCTCAGTGTTGAGTATCACTTGCTTAGACAAAGGCAAGTGAGGGGGACGCAGCCGGGTCACTATGCCCCCAAAAGAAGGATACTTCCCCCCCCCCCGTCTCCCCTCGGCAAAAATCGGGCAAACATTCATAATTTCGGGATAATTTCGGGCAGAAAGGGAAATAAAAGTTAAAGAAAGAAGAAAATATAGCAGCGCTGAAATTAATGACTGCAGAGAATCCTTCGTTATATCTTTTTAATAAGCCTAATATACAACAATTACCAATATTCAACCTGTAACTTGCTTTTTTAAATATATTTTACCTCTAACATTTTTACCTCTATCATTTTTACCTCTGACATTTTTCCTCTGACATTTTTAAACCTCTGACATTTTTACCTCTGACATTTTTACACCGAGCCCATATTACAGCCCATTTTATGTTTGTTATTGCCAAAGAAAAAAGATGTAAGTCAGTCACTCAATAGTGTCTCACAGTGAAGTCTAGAAAGTAAACGGGTTTCCTTGCATAATTTGAACACTAGTAGACCATGGGCCAAGCCTAACAATTCTTCAGTTCCGTGGTCCCCACATGGGAAGTACTTTATTTTGTCCAAGATAATCCAAGGACAAAGAATAATCATGGTGAAATGTTCCCATCTCTAAATTTGTACATTTTTTTTCTCACAATTTTGATATAAAGTTGCAGTATGTAGCAGACAGCTGTTCCTTAATTGACCAATCACAGCTAGGGTCTTAGATACAGAGCATACAATATCCCGAGTCTGGAATATCATCCTTACTTAGCTGATACATGAAAACTTCGAGGAAATAATTGTATAAAATCAGATAATTTTAGAAAACGATTTGCAATAAATAAAACGTAAGTGTGTGCCTGGAAATCTGCCAGATTAATTATTGTCATTACTCTTTTTTTGGATCACGAAAATCGAATTGGTTTTTGTTTTGATCAATTTCCCTACGTTAGCACCCCGTAATTTAGAGTTGAATATAATATTTTTAAGACATGAGGTGGAAAATAAGATTTTAACTTATTTATTACACCTATGTTCATAGACAACAGTTTGCATACATGATCAATTTAAGTAGTCCATGTTAGTTTGCAGTCAATAAAGATCAAGAATGGGAGTTTATCTGGGTTAGGGGTAAGCAATCAACCAAAACTTGTCCTGGTAGCTCAGATAGTGTATTGCCGAAAATCATAAAATAAGTTTTATTCAAATTCAATAAACAAGCTTTCCTAATGTCCTGCTTTTGTTTCTATTGCACGATATATTAAGAAGACTTGTATATTAGAAGGAGAATACATACATATGTCTTGAGATTTGCCATGGTAAAAATCCTAGTCAAACCGGGCTAGTACATGTTACTTTTGCAGCATTGCACTGATAATTGTAGATTTTGAATCCTGCTGATTAAGAGGCTTAGGGCTTAAAGCCAAAGTCCACTCCATTTTCAAAAGTTATAGCATGTTGTAAATAAATCAAAGGTTAAAATTGCCAAATATCATGGGCGGGCTTCAATCAGGGGATTTATAAGATTTTCGTTTCGGTTATTTCAAGCAAAACAGTTAAATTGGCGCACGGATGTGACGTATGCTCCTCACAACGAAAGTGCCAGCAGTATACATTCTGACAATAGGCCATTTTCGTGATGTAACCAAATGTAATGCATACGTCTTTGTGAAGTGCCTCGATACAAACTATTTCATTCACCTGATAAGAATAATAGTATTGCAATAGACAATATAATCTAAACTGCAACATTAGTCGTTGCCAGTTGGACAAACATAATTGATTGCCCTACCTAGCAACACTTGATATATGCAGTTTTCATTATGACTGTTGTAATACTATTATTCTTATCAGGTGAATGAAATCGTTTGTATCGAGGCACTTCGCAAAGACGTATGCATACAATTTGGTTACATTATAAATCTAAATGTATGTTGTAAGGACCCTACGTCACAGTTAATGAAATATGGGAGAGAACCGGCTTGACCATTTCCTTCTTTTTGTTGCTAATTAAACAAAATAATTAAAGTAATTCTGAGCAACATTTTCCAAAACCAAGCTATATTTGGGCTTTTTAGATTTGTATCTATCTTCAGCCTCGGTCACAAATGCCATTACGAACTGGTACGAACGATTTTCAGACTATGGAAATTCGGAAAGACAGTGGAAAAACACTGAGTGAGATTCGTACCAACGCATCGTTCGTACGAACCTTTGTGACCGTGGCTTAAAGGGCCCATGACATCGAAATACAAGTGTATTCCTGTTGGTGTGTAGTCCTGCATACATCTCATATTTTGATATGTTAACTTCTGAATTTGTTTCATAGATTTTTTAATATTTTTCGAAATATTTGTTTTTCAAACTTGATAAGCTCCACCCCAAAAACCACCAGATCTCATTCCCCTTGTGACATCATCTGTAAGTCATCAATGAGCTAACTTGAGAAAGTGGCATGTAACTTTGCCGAAGTTGACCACCTGTTACAATATCACAAACAATAGCAATATATAAGTTGCGTTGTCAAAAATGTCAGACTAAACTAATATTCTAGAATAGACAATGGTTTGTAATTCCCTCCAGCTTACCACACATTCATAATAGAATTGCATGCTTCCATACATATGTACAATACATCATTTGCCTTTGTCTTCCTGATGATGCTACAGCATGTCTGACATAGCAACTTGTATGTTGCTATTGTATTACGTATTTTAACAAGTGGTCGACTTCGGCAAAGATACATAACACTTTCTCAAGTTGGCTCATTGATGACTGACAGATGATGTCACAAGGGGAATGAGATCTGGAGGTTTTGGGGTGGAGCTTAGCAAGATTGAAAAACAAATAGTTCAAAAAATATTTTAAAATCTATGAAACAAATTCAGAAGTTTACATATCAAAATGTGAGATGTATGCAGGACTGAACACCAACAGGAATACACTTGTATTTCTATGTCATGGGCCCTTTAATCAGCCCAACATTTCAGTGGAGGGAACTTTGAGCTAAATAAATTATTTCCAGGGGGCCTAGTGATCGAATGTGAATTCAAAGCACATCACACAAAATATGGAGCGAACAATGGAACAAAAGGCGTTTCAAAGTTTGGTGCATATGTCACTGAACAATAGGA